AACAAATAATAATAAATAATAAATAACAAATAATAAATAATAACAATAATAATAATATTGATAATGATAATAATAATAATAATAATAACAGTAATAATAATAATCGTTATTTAAATATAATTTTCATTTTGTTATATTACATTTCATTTTATACTATACTATATTGCATTTTATAATATATTTCTCACTATATCACATTTCATTAAGAAATTGTATTTCACTAATTTATTTAATTTTATTATATCTTATTCATTACTGATAACAATCGTTAATCATTCGTAACAATTTTAAATTTCATCCCTACTAATTTCTAATAACTACTATCTCTATACTAGAGCTATAGTAAATTTGATAATAATAAAATTTGTCAAATATCAATGAATAATAAAAACTTCCAAGCATTAATTCATATATGATAATGTATTTATTGTTTATGCATAGAGAATTTTTGGCATCTTACTCCTTGCCCCTTTTTTGAAACTCTTGTGTGATTTTTTTTTTTAAAAAAATTTGCTTTTTTTCATTTTCCAAGAAAATTCCATCAAATGTTTAAAATTGGATAATCTTATATCTTCAAATTGATCTTATATATCGTATGAATAATTCACCGCCTTATATCTTCAAATCATATCAAAATAATAATGATAACACATTGTGTTGTATGTGACAGTATTGTGAAATTAAAAATTTATATTTTACTAAAATTATTCAACGAAAAAATAAAGAACGAAAAGATTGGTTTTTAAAATTTTAGAAATTATTATTATTATTATAATTTATACAATTTGTTATTAGTTTGTTATTAATTATTTCTTTTGTTTTGCTTTTTTCTATTAATTTGTTATTAATTATTTCTTTTGTTTTGCTTTTTTTTCATTAATTTGTTATTAATTTGTTGTTAATTATTTCTATTGTTTTGCTTTTTTCCTCTTTTTTGAGTAATTTTTGAATAAAAAAAATTGAAATTAACATATTTTTCAATTTATTCAAATTTTTTTTAGAGAGAAAAAGTTTGCATGAATTTCACGTGCATAATTTTGTGTTCACTTTTTTCCTTTTTTCTCTGCTCTCTCTCTCTCTCTCTCTCTCTCTCTCTATTCTTTCCTTTTTTCAAATATAAAATAAAGAAAATTTTGTTTGTAAAAATAGGTGACAGTGATTCATTCATCCATTCATTTATTTCTTTTATTAATATTATTTCATCAAATAAACTTTTCGTTCCATAATTTCATTATTTACTACATTTTCTTTTTTTAGATGACAGCTGATTATTTTTCTTTATTTCCCTTGTCCTCTCACATTTTCTCTCCTCTCTCTTCCTCCTCTTTCGCGCTCCTTCCGATTTTTCTCAGAATATTTACTGAATAATATAATTTCATTATTTATTACACTTAAATGACAACGGTTTCTTTTCTTTATTTCTCTCCTTCTCTCCCATTTCCTCTCTTCCCTCTTCCTCCTCCTCCTCCTCCTCCGCGCTCCTCCCGATTTTTCTCAGATATTATATAAATTCATTATTTACTACACTTATATGACAGCGATTTCTTTTCTTTATTTTTCTCCTCCGCGTCCCTCCCGTTTTTTCTCAGATATTCACAATTATGCTTATGATATGAGTATAAAAGTATTTCTTTCATACTTTTTTTCACCTATCATTATGCTAAGAAAAACCGGGAGGAGCGCGGAGGTAATTTGATAATTGAATTTACAGCTTTTAATGATAGTGATAATTGAATTTACAGCTTTTAAGATTTTAAAAGAGGATGAATAAATAGATGTAGTAGGATGATGGCAAAGGTTTAGAGACATCGAAATGAAAGTATCATGAATTTTTTTTCCATCTATCTCGGAATATCGCAAGATTTTTAACTCTGTGTTCAACATTTCCAAAGCTATCTATAAGATATCGCAAGATTTTAAATCATATTTTCAACATTTTCAGATCTATCTATAGGATATCGCAAAATTTTAAGCCATATTTTCAATATTTTCAGACCTCTCTAGAAAACATTAATTAGCTTGTTTCTCATTTAATTTCAATGTTATATTTTGATAAATTATAAATATTTGCTGAATTTATGAAGAAAATTTTGTATGATTTAAAATGACATTCTTATTTTGCAATTAATTTTTCACAAAAAGAAAATCAATTAATAAAATGTTTTTCCTTTTTGTTAGAAGAAAAATTGTCCATAAATAGAAATAAAGATAGGATGAAAATAGTTTACTTTTTATTTTACCCAATTCCTTTAATGAATTTATAATTGGAATATTTAAATTTTCATCAATGTAGGAATAATTAAAATTTTATTTTGTTTATGTTATTTGTGAAAATTTCTTTTTTTCTTTCAAATTATTAAATATCGTTTCATAATTATTTACATACTCTTTGTTTTGAAAGTAATGAATAAGGCAACTTGCAATCATATCATCGAAATTATCATATAATTGTAATGATTACATGAAATTTTAAAATGATACTGCATTCTTCTAATTTACACATGATAAATGATATCGCGGTAGGATGAAATGAGAACAACTGATGAAATAGCGAAAATATCGGGCAGAAAGCAGGTTGTAAGCGAGAAAGAGAAATAAGATAAAAGATTTGTAGTAATCAAATAGAAGGTATAATAGTGAAATTAATTATTTATTATAATATAATTATTTCATTGTTATTAATATATTTCAATCCTCTACATCATCAATTTTATTTATTCTCATTCGTAAATTTTTATAATAATATTTATTATTTAATAAAATTGTTAATTGAAATGATTCGTTGAATAAACTGAAAAATTTTTGTTTACCTTTTCATATCATTAATATTTCGTACCTTATTTTATTTTAATTATAGGATTATTATTTTAATTATAGGGTTATTATTTTAATTATAGGATTATTATCTTACATATTTTTCATTTTCTACTTTTTGTATTAACCAAAATCATTAATTCATATTATTTCAAAAGTTATCATTTTTAATTTCCTTTCTTTCTCTCTCTTTTGTTTTTTCAACAAACAAAAAAGGGAAAAGATATTGAAATTTGGCTGTCAAAAATAATTTTCCTATTTTCTAATCATTCAATTCATCTATTTCACATCATTTTTGATCGCTCTTTTTTTTTTCCTGTTAGTGAAAAAGAATTTATCATTTAATCTTATCAGCTGTAACTATCATTTGATGGATCATTTTGCTCATTTCTAATAACATTCATAGATGTGAAAAATTTTTTTCTAATTTGTTTATTAGATGATTGATATACATTTCTATTACACATTTTTTAGTTTAATTAGCAAATTTTGTTCTTTTGGATGAACTTTGCTCGCTTTTTGGTAAAATTTATTGAATAATGAGAGGAGAAGTATTTCTGATAAGAAATTCATTTTAGCATTTTGTTTCATTGTTGAAATGAAAAGATTTTAACCATTCATACTATAACTGTCATTACTGTAATTGCTAACTAATGACATTTCTTTTTTATCTAACCGCAAAAATAAAAAGTATGTCAAGAAAAAAGAAATATATATTGATGTGTGTGTGTGTGTGTGTGTACACTGATGAATTAAATATATATATGTGTGTGTGTGTGTGTACGCTGAATTAAATATATATATATATATATATATATATGTGTGTGTGTACACTGATGAATTAAATATATGTGTGCGTGTGTGTATGTGAGTTTGTGTGTGTGTGTGTGTGTGTGTGTGTGTGTGTGTGTGTGTGTGTATGTACACTGATAAATTTTTACTTTTTCCTTTATTCTTTCATTTTTAAAATCATTAAAAACTAATATAATTAGCATTTTAATAGAAATTTGTTACCTGTAATATAAAATTGAAATTAAATTAGGAAAGAATAAATTTAAATATATGTGGGAGAAATTTGAAATTAAATTAATAAAAAATAAAATTAAATGTATGTGAGAGAAATTTAAAATTAAATTTATAAGTGAAATTAAATGTATGTGAGAGAAGTTTGAAATGTATGTGAAAGAATTTCCTATAAAGGAAGAAATAATTTCTATATTTATTCAAATGCTTCTTCTTTTTTTTTTTGAACAATTTATCTTTGCGTCTGTCTGTCTGTCTATTAATGATAATATCATACGATAATGATAATAATATCAAAAAAAATGGCTTAAAAAGAAATTTTTCAATTTTTATCAATTCAATGTATTCATTTATGTTTATCAATTATCAATATCAACAAAAAGAAAAAAAAATTTTTCTTCTGTCAATTATTGATTAAATTTTATATCATTCAAATTTTTTCATTCTTTATCCCAAATCTAAGGAATGAAGCGAAGCATAAGAAGGAAGGAAATATTTGAGAAATTATTTTAACATTATTAACTATCCCTCTCTCTCTCTTTCTCTCATCTTTTCTTTTCTCTTCTTTCTTTTCTTTCTCTCTCTCCCTCTTCCTTTTTCTCTGTTGCGCAATATAATTTCGCATCATATCTGAAGTATGTGTGTGTAGGATTATCATGCAGTAATCATCGTCTACTGTGTGTGCCTTATTTTAATGGAAGTCCTGAATGAAAGCAGACAGGCTTACTAGGTCTTCATTTATAAAATATTCTCGTCGAAGTTCGCACAAATAAAGACATGACAAATATTATGGGCTGTCATTGATTAAAATGTTTTTTATTTAATAACGTTTATCACGTATGTCATGCTTGTCATGTTTATCATATTTGTCGCGTTTGTCATGTTTGTCACTTTTGTCATGTCTGTCATATTTGTCGTGCTTGTCATGTTTGTCGTTCTTGCCATGTTTGTCGTGCTTATCATGTTTGTCACGTCTTCATTTATTAAATATCTTTTTAGCAAATCACACACGTTTTTTTTATTTTTTACTCAAAAATTTTACGTTTACGTGATACATGCATATTACGGGTTTGCTTAAAATAGAGAAAAATCAAATTTATATCGTATTGTAAAAATTTCAGGAACAAATTAAGAAGTGCTAAATTAAATTCATTCTATTAATTATGGCTGCTAATAAATCATCCGGACGTCTAGTTTATTATCGTGTATTGGACGTCAATCATGCAGGAATTTCGGAAGTTCTACCAGGTTTGTATATCAGTGGAATTTGTGCTCTGAAACCGTCAACAATTCAAGAATACAACATCACAATGATCATCAATGCAACCAGTGAGGTATGATATATCGATAAAGCAACAAGAAATTGAAGAAAGGAAAGGATTTGCAGGGAAAATTAGCACATTTTTAACAAAGATTAAAATTTGTAAAAAACATCACAGCGTAAGAAGTAAATGGAATTTTCCTTAGCACAAGATTACATTATGGAAGGCAAAAAAGTGAGAAGAAAATGAAAATTTAATCACCGTACTATGGAACTTTTCAGAATTTCTTTGCTTATTTTATGATTTTCATATTGGGAAAACATTATGGAAATGAATCAAACAAAGTTTGAGTTTATTATTTTTTATTAAATTAGGACAAAAATATACCTTCTTCAATTTTAACTTTTTTAAAGCTTTTTTGTTTTTTACTTTTTTTTTGCTATTTTTCTCCCAATGGTTTACAATGAAGAAATAATAAGTTCACTATCGTCTCCCTCACTCTCCCTCACTCTCTATCTCTCTCTCTGTCTCTCTCTCTCTGTTTTTGATTTAATTCATTTAATAAATTGATGAGGTTACAGTGGTATATTTGTCCACGTATACGAGCCTTCCCCCCACCTGAAAATGGCTACTTCTGCGAATAGGAGTACCACACACGATTGATTTCATGGAAACACACCTCTTGTTCCTGATTTTATGGTATCAGTATTCAACTTTCAAACAGGAACAATGACACATGGCTAAACGGGTTTTTTTAATTCGATTTTTTATCTTTTTTAAAAAACAAAAAAAAAAAGGAAATGGCGGATTCAATGAAAATTAGAATTATTTTGTGGACTTAGTTTTATTAATACCCCTTCCTACCTTTCTAGGTTCATTGTTCTCATCACATTGGAAGGTTTATTAGATTGGTAGTATGAAACCTGACATATTCCAACCTTTATTGAAAGAATTAAGATTTTTTTTTTTTTTTTTAAAGAAAAAGGATAAGCAAAAATCGAAATATTGTTGAAAACATTTACTGTCTTTCAGGTACCCAATTCAGCATCATTAGGTTCACTGCCAAGAGTCAAACTTTGGTTAGAAGATACTCAAGAATCATGGGCTCTTTCATATTTGGATTTTGTTTGTGATAAGGTGTGCATTTTTAATGCAACACTATCAAAAATTTTCTAATTTTCAAGCTATCTTTTTATTCTTTTGAAAATTGAGTGTGAAACTTTTGATAAAATTCAAATTGTTAAATTGTAATAATTCCTTTTCAAGTATTTATAGTGAAAATCATTACATAATTAGAAGCATTATTATTGCAAAAGGTTCGTTTTTTTTTAAAGATTTTGAAAGCGATAACAAGAGGCGGCAAAGTTCTCATTCACTCGGTGCAAGGTGTATCACGTTGTTCAACAATTTGCCTTGCTTTTCTTACTAAATATAAATTTAAAACACTGCATGATGCTTATATGCATTTGGCTTCCGTGCGACCAAAAGTGGAACCAAATATTGGATTTTGGCGACAGCTTATCTCATTTGAAGAGGTAAACAATAATAAAAAAAAATCATTTAAATAATATGAATTTAAAAAAAAATTGAAAAATTTTAATTTATTCATTATTTTCAGGATGTAAAGCGAAGTATGAGTTCGGTAAAAATCGTACGAGATCGAAAGAATCCATCCATTTTGGTACCGGATGTATATCGAAAATATATTTTACGTTGCAAACGAAAGCTAGAACACCAGCATGGAAATACTCAAAGCATTGCGGAAAAATCAAAACAAGGTGAAACATCGCAACAACAACAACAACAACAGCAACAATCTTTGCTTGGCGAAATGAATGTAGGAAAAGCATGTGGTACTGTACCTTTATCGACAACAATTACCGATATGGATAATTGCACCGGCGGTACGATTGCTGAAGTCAGTGGAAGCACAACCGAATTGTACCCCTCACAAACATCCAATCGGAAGCCGCGTTCTTCCCGTACAAATTCTTCATCAAAGAAATTTCAACCAGTTTTGGAACCTCTTACTGAAGTTGTTTAAGTTTAGATAACCGTTTGATCATGTAATAATGTTCAACGGTGCACAGTAAGTATTTCAAAAATGTATTATTATTGTATAAAAATATATTATTATCAAGAAATATATTACAAAAATACATGAATTAAAGAAAAAAAACATCATTAAAGGCAAATAATTTTTTGTGCTAATAAGTTTCACTCTAAATTTCATTGTTATATTTATATGAGATTTAGCCTAATTTATTTCAAGTTTTCTCGTTGTTTTTCCATTTTCTATCCTGGAAAGCTTATACACAATCTTCCTTACCTAGATAAAATCAAATCATTTGTATTATTCAATTGTTATAATGAATAGACGAAATCAAATCATTTATATATTCCATTGTTATTAATTCATCAAAGTATTTAAAAAATTTTCTTTATGAAATGCTTTATTGTACAAACGACTAGCTCGTTGATAGTTTTAATTAATTGATGTAATCTCGTTTGTTTGTAGCATAACAGTATATAAGGAGGAATTTTTAATTTTTTGTTTTCATATTGTAAAAAATGTTTGTTGATTGAAATAAGTATTTTTTTCTGCAAAAGAAAAATATTTTGTTCGTACGAAAGTTCTCTTTGTTTATCATATCATCTCATTTTAATATACTTATAAAATTCACTTCTTTTCTAATTTCTTTGTTTCTTTTGTTTATCATCATTTACAATAATTTTATTTATTTACTTCCTTTATTTATTTTTGAATAAATTTCGCAAATTTTTTTTGATAATACATTTCTTGGAGTCGAATAATAGTGTGGGAGTGCTTTTTCTATCAAATGAATGAAATTAAAATGAAAATCAAAATTTCTATCTTCCTTTTCTTCCTTCTTATAGGGTTTCAAATGAAATTTTATGAGCAGATCGTTAGTAAGAAATCTAATGAAACTGGGAAAATTTTTGTTTTTATTAATTTAAGAAGTTGAAACTTTTGGATTATCATGTCACACAGAACACAATCAGTTATCATTATTTCGATAAGATTAGAAGACACAAGGTGAATTATTGATAAGATATAAGGTTAATTTTATGTGGTTTAATATTCTATAGTCTTATTACAATTTTTGATTTCTATCTTGTTTTCGGAAAATAAGAATAAAATGTTAGCAGAAAGCTGATTTACGCACACACACATTCATTGTTACTAGTTTATTTGTTATTGTTATGAGCAATAATGATGACCTCTTAATCTTTTATGGTAATCCCATAGTATAGCGATTTATTGTGACCTTTTGTATCTCTTCAATATCCAAGGAATTACTACCATAATTCCATATCAGTTCTCATTTAATTTCTTTGTTTTTCAATTTTCTTTAATTTCGATATTTTACATATAATTGTGTAATTTCACAGGAAGTCCTATTAAATTTTTAGCAATTACCACTGAATAATATTTGCCTCATAAAATTTGCAAATACTATCCTAAAATTCAAAAAATAACCGAATTTCCTGAAATTGACTTTTTTTCATCTTCATAAAATATCTCTTAAAAATAATGGTAGTAATTATCGCGATCATCATAACTATCATTGTAAATTATCACTATACAGTTGTTGCTAAGTTATTTTTTTTCAATATCAATTAATTTTCGCCTTAAATATGGAGTTATAAAAATATGTTTTTGCCCGCTTTTGTTTGTATAATATGTACAATATTTGTAAATAAAATATTTATACTGCATTTGAAGAAATATTCAAACAAATTGTTTATGAGAAATAAGTGTCGAAGGAAAAATTGATTTTCACTATTGTCTTAGCATATGGCCATTGTTTTCATAAATAACTGCAGTGATTGCTATAAATGTAGTAATAATTAATCATGATATGGGTGGTAATTATGATTGGCTTATTTGTATAAATTATGATCAGCCAATTACTGAACTATAGTTAACATATTGCTTACTATTACCATAAAGGCATATCACTAGATTATTCGACATTGACATCCTTAGTTTCTATTCGATTCATTATCATATAACTGTTGTAGACTTATCAATAACTGTTATAGATTTATCATTTGATTTCATCATCGTCACTTATCAAGACATAAATAATTCCTAATTATTAGTTAGTATTTAGCTTAGCCAATAATGTAAGTAATGGAAATGTTCCTGAACTTGGACAGAGCTTATATATAATTAGCCTTTTCAAATCTCATTTGCAGAAATAATTTATTAATCATTGCTACCAAAAAGATGCATTTCAATTATCAAACGTTAAGGAAATTATAAATCGGAGCAAAGAACTCTCTCTCTCTCTCTCTCTCTCTCTCTCTCTTTCTCTCTCTCTTTTTTTGCTTTTGAATTATATTATATAGTTGAAAAAGGAAATGGATAAATTTATTCATCGTATTGCTGTCATAATTTACAAAACGATCATTAAAATTTTTAAATTGTAAATCCGTTTTTTATTTGAAATAAATTATTTGATGATTTTCTATATTTGATAACTTTTCTACTGGAAGGAAATATTTCCAATTGTCGGCGAAAATGAGTCATATTAATTCCGGTAAATAGTAGCGAAAAAGAAATCTAAAAGAAGAACGAAAACGAAAATGGCATCCGGTAAACTTAATCATTCGAAGAATCTATCTTATTGATGTTTCGTAGAAAGTGAAAAATCAGAAAAGTTAATCAGATTTTCTGTTGAAGTTCCTGAAATAATAAAATATGAAATTCGAAGTATAAAACTTTTCATGAAGAATTTCGGAAAAAGGAAGTCTCGAAAGTAATCATTAAAAAAACTCCGGAAATTTCTATTTCTTTCTTACCCATCTGTTTGGGATCGTTCTTTTCATAGATGAGTTGGTTTGATGGATTGATCAGTCTGTTGTAATTGCCACGTTGTTCGAGCGGAGGGGGAAAAATTCTGGTGGGAGAAGGGTAGGTGAACTTTTGGTAATTATTGTATGGTAGCCGGACTTCCGGTTCATGTTTACTTCAGAAGTGTTAGCTAATATATCATAAAATTCCGGAATTGAAATTAGAAGTTATTTTAGATTTTCAAACGATGACAATTTTGAAAAAATTCGAGTCGAGCTCGGCACGAGTTAAAGGTAATTTTTAGTGAGAAATTTTTTTTACGTATCACTACAGAAGATTGTAAAAAGTAATGCATTTTCATATAAAAAAGGCAAATGAATTTGCCATACATGTTTGTGTTAAATAGAAATGAATGAATTACTTTCTATTAAATATATTCTAATTCGGATATTTTTATTATTTCTTTTAATAAGAACTTTAAAGTGAAAGTAAAAACTAGTAAAGTAACATCCTTGATTGTTCTTCTTTTTCATTGTTGAAAGTCCTTTTTATTCTACATGTTCTTTTATGTCAATTTCAAATTTAAATTTCAACTTACCTCTTTCTCCGATTTTTTTATTTCAATAACTTTGATGTGTGATTTTCTAATTTTCAATTTTTAATTCCGGACTTCATATATGTAATTAATTCATTCAGGAATTTCGTTCCATCCGACTCGGCCATGGGTTTTGGCGTCATTACATAGTGGTATCATCCAATTATGGGATTATCGAATGTGTGTTATGTTAGATAAATTTGACGAGCATGATGGTCCAGTACGTGGTATCGCATTCCATAGTCAACAGCCAATTTTCGTATCTGGCGGCGATGATTACAAAATTAAGGTAAGCTTTCTGGAAATCATGGATTTGTTTCGTGACGGAAATTTTTTGCGTCAACTTTGGAGAAGTAAAAGTGCTTTCTGTTTAGTTTCCGAAAATCGCAACTCTTTACCGTACTCTTTAAACGTTCGGTTTTCTTTGAAGTTTTTAGGCAATTATAATTGTGTTTCATTTATTATACTTCGATTATTACGAAGGCTAAGTAGATTTGAGATATTTCGACTGAAGTTTCATTAAAAATTAGTCACAATGGTATTGTTTTTGTTTATTGTATATGAACTTTGTATAATGATTAAAATTCAGGTTTGGAATTACAAGCAACGTCGTTGCGTATTCACTTTACTCGGTCATCTTGATTACATTCGTACCACATTTTTTCACAGCAATTATCCGTGGATTATTAGTGCATCGGATGATCAAACAGTACGGATTTGGAATTGGCAAAGTCGCCATAGTATCGCCATTTTGACTGGTAATGTTTGCATTGTCATTCTGATTACAGTATAAAAGGATAAGAATAGAATAAGTTGAGCAGATATGGTGAGTTTGTCATATCAGAGAATTCCGATATCCATCCTATTGTTGATATGTATATACTTATATTGAAATTTATTCTTTACCAGGTCATAATCATTATGTAATGTGCGCTCAGTTTCATCCAACCGAAGATCTGGTGGCGTCGGCTTCTTTAGACCAGACCGTTCGAGTTTGGGACATATCTGGACTTCGGAAGAAGAATGTTTCACCAGGAACTGGTAACAATATGTCACGTGTACGTTCGGTAAGTGGTGTAGCTAGCAGCGATTTGTTTGGACAACCTGATGTCGTCGTCAAACACGTTTTGGAAGGGCATGATAGAGGTATGTTGGAACGATTTCGTATAACTTGAGCATTATCATTAATCGTTATTTCATTATATAAGGCAAGGAACATTTGGTAGAAAAGGCTTTCTACATGAGAGGTTTGGTAGTAAAGATTTTTTTATTATTCTGAGCAATTCTGTAATCAAACCATTTACCGCTGAATTTGCACCAGTTAATTTTTTCTATGAACGAATACTACAAATGAACTATGTGGTTTGACAACGAAGATGGTGTTTGCTTCTTTCAAGTCTAAAATTTTTGATATGAAAGAAAAGAAATTTAGGAGTCAATTGGGTTTCGTTCCATCCAACGATGCCACTTTTGGTGTCGGGTGCAGACGATCGCCAAGTAAAATTATGGCGTTACAATGAAAGCAAAGCTTGGGAGGTTTGCTTATTCATTTGTATTAAATTTTGAGCTCATTCATTTTTTGGACGTATAAAAATTGTCAAAGATCGTGGAAGCCTCATGTCCGTAATATTTCTTCACAGGTGGACTCATGTCGCGGGCATTACAACAACGTATCGTCGGTATTGTTTCATGCAAAGGCAGAATTGATACTGAGTAATTCCGAAGACAAAAGTATTCGTATTTGGGATATGCAAAAGCGCACATGTTTGCACACATTCAGGTAAACTTTTAAAAAGTGAAGTTTTAAGCAGTTTGCTTTGCTTTGGCTTCAATTTGCATAATTTTTGTACAATTCAAGAATAATGTTTCAATTCAAGAATAATGTTTGCATAATTTTTTGTACAATTCAAGAATAGTGTTTCAATTCGGATCTAATTCTGAAAAGAAGCGATTCTCAAAACAGACTGAGAGTATAGCTTATATGTTTTCTAACGATATAATTTGCAGGCACGATAACGATCGGTTTTGGGTTTTGGCTAGCCATCCAACACTAAATATGTTCGCAGCAGGTCATGATAGTGGAATGATGGTATTTAAAATTGAACGTGAACGTCCAGCATTTTGTGTGCATGAAAATCTGGTGTTTTATGTAAAGGATCGTCAACTGAGACGTTTGGATTTAACTAACAAGTTGGTTTTTTGAAAAAGAATTTTCCTAGTATAGGAAGTATATTGTACGCGTGAGGGTATATATGGGATAGATAATGAAACATATGGACGGATTTTAAAGAGGCATATTTTAAGGATATTTGTGGAAAAAAAGATTTGTTTGAAATTAAAATTTGGAATTTTCAATGTTGTAAGTTTTGAAAGCTATGAGTCGATTTATATTGAAAAGTTTTCAGCAAAGATGTAGCATTAGTGCAACTTCGTGGTAGCAAGCTTATGCAACCGTATTATTCATTGCATTACAATCCGGCTGAAAATTCATTCCTTTTGATTACGCGTTCTCCTATGCTCGAATATTGTACATACGATATGTATAAGGTAAACGTTAGGATTGACGTTATTTTACTTGTTTTTGTTGTTTTAAATCTTTATTATTATCGGCATCACTGTTGTTGTTATTACATTATTATTAATCATTATTATTATTGCATACATTTATTTAGCACCATGACATGCAACAACTTAATTTTTGATTGCATTGTTTTTCTTATATCAATTTATCTCTTACTGATATGCAAAGTTGAAGAAATAATTAAATCAAGCTAGAAATTAAAATTGCAGGTATCGAAAGATACATCTGACGGCAATGCTGAAGCTCCGGAAGGGAAGCGCTCTCCGGGTGTGGCTGCAGTCTGGGTTGCACGCAATCGTTTTGTTGTTTTGGATAAAAATCAACAGGTATATCTAAGCGAACAATAGATTTTAATTGTATTATTAAAGTCAAATGCTATTCCTTTTATGTATTCACCATTTGTTGGAATGAAGTATATCATTTCAGATTACGGTCCGGGATTTGTCAAATCGTGAAAATCGAAAGATTGAACAAAGCTTCCCGATTGATGATATTTTTTACGCTGGAACTGGACTTTTGTTGCTGAAAAATAACGAAGGTATTCAGCTGTTTGATATCCAACAAAAGCGCACCCTAGCTTCAGCAAAAGTTCCTAAGGTTAGTCAAGGTTCAGTTTTCAAAGTGTCATCAGAATTACGTAAAATTATATAGAAAAACTATAAATTATATAGAAAAGAAGTGTCATCAGAATTACGTAAAATTATATAGAAAAACTTGCAAAACCGGTCTTTGCATTATAATTTTAGTGAGAGATTATTAACCGAGTTTTATCAGCCTCAGTTTATTTATTCATGATCATAACATATTTAATTCACTTCTTATCTTGTTGCTTGCATTATGAGTCAAATTACAGGTGAAATATGTGATTTGGTCAAAGAATCTGGAATATGCAGCTTTGCTTAGCAAACATACTTTAACTTTGGTGTCACGCAAATTACAAGTAATTACTGATAATCCTTTTTATACAAGATTTCCTCGAAGCTTGTGAACATTTAAAAAATTTAATTCTATTTGATGATATGTTTTATCAAGTCATTTACCAATATGACTGCCATTTAAGTCGATGGATAATTCTTCGAAGTACTAGTTTTAGATCTTATGCACCGTTCAAGAATCAACGCGTTTAAAGAGTGGCGCTTGGGAAGAAGAAGGTGTGTTTCTCTATACCACCAGCAACCATATCAAATATGCGTTAACAGTAGGTGATCATGGCATAATCAGAACATTAGATGTACCGGTATATGTGATTGCTGTTCGTGGTGAAAATTTGTATTGCTTGAATCGGTATGTGCTTTTTTCGAAATTTTTTGAAAATTTTGGAAAAGGAGAAATTTATCGTTTTTTCTGGTTATAAGTTTTTCCAAAATTTGTTTTCGTTGGCAATACAGATTTGATTGGAGGAAAATATCAACTGATAGGAAAAAATAAGTTCATTGAAAATAGAATAAAAAGTGAGAAAGGTAAAACAAGTATTACAATTTTCAGCGAAGCAGTTCCAGTTGAAGTACCTATTGATCCAACAGAGTACCGCTTCAAATTAGCGCTAATAAATCGTCGTTACGACGAGGTTGCTGAAATTCAATTTTATTTTGAAAATACTATGGATGAATATGAATAGAAAAAAGTTTCTAGTTTGGGAATCTGAAGTTTCTAGTTTGGGAATCTGAGTTGGGAAAGTTTGGGAATTATATATTGTTTTTAATGTGAGAAATGTGGTATTTATCCAAATATAGAGATTATGTATGATAGATATATTTAGACTCGAATTTTCTACTGAATGTTTACTTCAGGTACTGAATATGGTGCGCTCAGCAAATCTGGTTGGTCAATCAATTATCGCTTACTTGCAGAAGAAAGGTTATCCAGAAGTTGCTCTACGTTTTGTGAAAGACGAAAAAACTCGGTTTGGTTTAGCGCTCGAATGCGGTAATCTTGAGGTGCATTTTAAAAATATAGCGACTTTCAACAAAAATCTCTAGAAAGTATGAAGGAAAAGAAAAAACAAAAAAACAAAATTTAAGTGATTTTCGGGTTAAAAAGGACTGAGAGGACGATAAAGTTTAAAAATAAATATTGCTGGAGTGATAGCTAGCTTTCTCTAATTAAGGTTGCCCTTGAATCAGCTAAAGTGCTCGATGATAAGGCAGTTTGGCAGGCTCTTGGCGAAGCTGCTTTAATGCAGGGTAATCATCAGGTAACTAAAAGCTTTTTAATAAATTTATCTTTTTCTGAATTCAAAATTATGTTTGATTATGTTTATGAAATAAAAATGATAAGAAAAATATATCCTAGAAGTTATCGGAAAGGGTATACTTTTTGTGCTTCTTAAAGCAAGGTTGAACAAACATGCATGTTGTTGGAAATTATGCAACTGCTTTAAAAATCTCAGACTGTTTAGAAACAAATTCTTATTGTTCCCGATTTTTATAGATTGTCGAAATGGCATATCAACGCACAAAAGATTTCGAGAAGCTTTCATTTTTGTACCTAATTACTGGGAATATAGAGAAACTGCAAAAAATGATGAAAATTGCACAAATTCGCAAAGTATGAGTCATTTTAAAAATAATGTGGGAAACAAATTAATGCTGTACAGACTTAATCAAAACATCATAAATTAGAGTATTCGATTTTTATCGCTTAAACATTTGGA